GTGTGTGTGTGTGTGTGTGTGTGTGTGTGTGTGTGTGTGTGTGTTTGTGTGTGTGTGTTTGTGTGTGTTTGTGTTTGCTCATACGTGCAAAATGAACAAGAAGTATCAGCGACTAACCGGAGAGAACAGAGTATCTATACAATAGGTGAGCACACTTTATCATATATGCGCGTGGAAATCAAAATAGAAACACATGTGTGTATTAAAGGTATATATACCTGTGTATTTAACAACAACCTAAAAGAACATACGTTGTTTTCGTGTGCTCACCTGTTCATTTGCGCTAACCATCTTTGGGTATATTATTTGTTGTTGAATCCGAAGGAACGAGCACAACCTGGCTAACTAGCGAATTGAGCATCGCACTCCGCTGCATTCAGATTCTCTCTATCTCTCTAGTTACAATTCCCCAAGGAGGCTATACACATTGGACTATCTGATATACTTGCCTGCAATCGTGTAATATACTTGCCTGCAATCGTCCGCATTGCATACGTCTACCATCCTCTCCAGTAGTAATCCTGTGTATTGCTATAGACCTATTAAAATATTAATTATCGCAGTGATTGCCTTGCTATCCACTCATGCGTTGTTAATGAAGAGCTCACAATGTCAGCAGAGGTGGGGCCAGTAGGAATCCGTGAACAAATCAGACTGCTACCCATAAAACCCCCGCGATGACATTCTCGCTTTGTGAACTGATTATGCGGTAATGCGGTAGGCCTGCAAGTTGCAACAGAGAGACAGGAGTTGTTGTGTGGAAATTGGGAGTCAGCAGGCAGCAATCAGACTCAGCTGTCAGCCTGTCAGTGGGCGGTGGGCAGTGGGACTGTGGGACTGTGGGACTCGTTTGGGAGAGCATAGTAAAAAGTTGTTTCCTGAAAAAAAGAGCTAAAAATTAAAAAATTCAGTGTTTATTTTGAAAAAGTTAATATTAAATTCATATTTATTTCTCGTTACCGGTGTCAAGTAAATACTGTCAACTCACACACTCAACTTCTTGACTCAAGTCTCAACTGTCAAGCTTTGTTTTTCTTTTAACAAAATAATCGTTAAAAAAGAGCAGCAATCAAAAATTCAAAATAAACTTTCAGGCACTATGAACCAATCGAAATCGATGTTCGTTGAGGCGAAAAGGCAAAAGTTGTAATGGCAGAATGGCTATAAATATAGACAGTTACAGTGTTTAGACACACTTCAAAAGTTCACAGTTGACTCTTGACAGTTCACAGGTCACAGAACACAAAATCAATAAATCAGCTTGAAATGTATCTATTATCTAATCACTAATCAGATTAAAAAGAGTCTTTTCTAGCCGTCTTTCAATATGACTCGTCTATAAAGTATAGAACTAAATTGCTTTACAGTTTTGATGTCTAAAAAGGCTATGAATTTTGCATATTTATTTAGCCTCCTACAGAAGGCTATGATTTTAGTAATTTTTTAAGGCTCGATTCGGCAATTCAGCAACGATCAAAAACAAATAATCTATTTTTGGACTTCATAGCCAAAATTTATATTGGATTTCGATCGTGCTTGTAGTATGACCTTGATATTTTTGATAAGTATTCCTAATTTTGAACGTAATATATATTCCTCCCGAATTTAGGTGGGAAAGGGTTTAGGGTTTTAGGGTTTTGTATGTATCTGTATTTGCCAAAATAAATTCGACCAGACTCTTTGCTCTTTTTGCTTTTTATTCCTGAAAATGATTTTTTCTGATTTTTTTAAAAATGAATGATGCATTTTTACACATATACAGTATTTATTTTTTTATCTTCAAAAAAAACAAAAATGTAAATATAGGGGATTGAACTACGTACTGTAACCAAAAAGTGCGTTCACGAACCTTTTTGCCTCGGTATCGTCTACTCCAATTTATGTTTACTCCAATTATTGTCCAATCTAACAGCTACGTAGACCATATGTAGTGTTTACTAAATACATGTAAATGTCTAGCAGAGAGAGTCGTTCAGTTCTCCTATATTTTTTTAATAAAAAGTATAAATATTATATAATTCCATAGCCAACTGATAACAAGAAGCTAAATATGATAATTCTAAAACAAATATATTTCAATAGATCTCTTTGATTGTACACGCATTTGTGACTTTGAGAAGGCTGGTAGTGCAGTGCTGTGCTAAAACTTGAGGTAACCAATCATGTAATAGGTGCATATAGGTGCCTTCTTGGTTGCGATCTGCCGTGTGACATATGCTTTTGCGGCGTGTTGGTTTGTAGCAAAGGCTACTGCATGTCAAACGAAACATACAAGCCACCACCAGACCACCTCCATTGCAGAAAGAAACAGCTACAACAATCATATTATAGGCTATAAACAATTCTTAGCCGATTCTAATGCTTTAGCAGATTCTAGTATAATACATTATTTGTAGTAATTTTTGCTCGCTTGGCATAATGGGAAGGAGCAGTATTTTGCACTGAAGTAGAGCTTATTGTCCAAACGACCGTGCACTGGGCCTGGTGACTATAACAAGTACCAGATATGCTCACTCCGATTATTGTCCCATTTCAATAATCGAGGCTTTATCCTCATATCGTTATAAGTTGCAACGCAAATAAATGATCCGTTAAACGTTGAAAATCAGGCCATATTCTAGGTCAGGCATGAGAATTTTGTCCTGACGACACATTCTATTATGAAAAATTGAGACCAAAGGTTTTAGAATAGGTGCACTATTCAGGCCACAATATACAGGTCAAAAAATATACGTTGCAACGCTAAACAAAAAAACCTCAAGTCCCACTGTTCCAAGTTCCAACCACAAGATTTATCCCTGGAAACCTTGTAGGCCTGGAACCGTTTAGTAACCCAACAATGTCGGATATTTTACTTTTTGTATCATAAGTCTTCTAAAAGTAGAAGGCTTTGTTTATATTTATGTGTATTTATATTATAGCCTCCTACTTTAAAACATATTTAGCCTCCTTCAGTCCTTCTCTCTCTTGTTGTGTATGTGTTCAATCGCGGCTAATATGTATATAATATATGTATATACATAGCCTTCTAAAATATCCAATACATGTATATATATATGATATTTTGTTTTACTTTAATCACCACCCGTATGACATCTCTCCACGAGAGATTTAAAATGCTATGTCGTTTTTGTATAAAAATGGCAAGAGTTGGCAATAATAATATAGGGAGGTCTTGAGTCAAGGACTATCATTCGTCTTCCGTGAGTACCTCACAGTACACTGGAAATCTAAAGCGTATCAGCAAGTGACTTGACCCCACGGAAGGGGCACATTGTCGCAGTCGCCTTCGCAACTACAGCATCCAATCCCACATTATTTGGAAGAAACTATGTACAAGTCATAGCAGAAAAAATCAACGGTACACGCCTCATTGTTCGATATCTCTGCAGGTTATTTCATTCTCTTTCAAAATAATCGCGGCTATCTACTTCAAAAAGGTGTTCCCGAATCCTTCTACTGCCTGTTTCGATATTTAGTTTTACAAAAACTCGTTGCAATATTCCCGCGTATGCACTTGTTCCATGAAGGATTCTACTGGCCATCGACACCGCAGTGTGATGATGTGCTAATGTTGGGGTCCGTCATGTATCGTGCAAAATACATAGGGCAGATTCATTAGTTTTTGGGACTGTTGTGCTTTATTTTTACGAGTTTCTTATCATATATTCAGAATTGACTTTCGTGTTACTAATACTTCGGGCATTGAGAACTCCTAGAGCCATCGAAGGCGCATGTTTGAATAGAGTGAGAATCATTAAGTCGAAAATCTATTCTGGAAGCCTTACTGGCATTGTATTGACTTATTGAACTCTGTTTCAGATGGACACATCTCTGTAAACACTCGTTCCGTTGTAAGAGTACAGCACACACATTCGGGTGTCAGTGCTCATATCAAAAATCATGCGTCATTCGGACCCCGGAACTACTTGTTGTACAGGGATCAAAAACTAAAGATGATAGGTGATGCCTGAAGCGATATATTTATCAAGAAACTAGTTGTGCCGTTAGGCTTGCTTAGTGCTCTGAAGAAAAACAATCAACCTACGCACAAACCATCGAGTACTACACAGGCACGCATGTAAAATACAAATGTACATGACAATTATATATATATATAGATATATATATAATATATATTCCTACCAATGCCAATTTTAGAGCGCGGGAAAATGCATAATCATTTTATATCTGGATAGCAAAACAATTGCTGTCTATCTCCATCAACCGTATAGTAGTAGCTGACTGAAGTAAATTATACTTTAGAACACGTTTGACGACTCTACTTAAATACAAACTTTCATACGCACAGGCAGTCTCATCGACTACACAATAATACGCGAGTGAATGATGCAATCCTAAATTCGTTTTATTCTTTCGACTGACAGTGGATGACGTAAAACATTCACATATCGCCCGCCCGCCAAACCGATATTTCCAGTAGGTATATGTCACATCTATTTACTATTAAGGTTCCTTGCTTGACCTTCCAACTTATTTCTCGTCAAGCTCGACCTGCGATTCGGCCATGTCCATGTCATCAAGGTCTTTCTTGTGTGTCTCTCCAGTAAGCGCGTCAGCGATGTATTCGGAGGGTCGTCTAGAGTGACGTCCCTTAGGCAAATCTGAAGACGCATCATCATCGAATTCTCTGGCCGAGTTCCTGATTCCATATGCGAAGTACCATAGGTAACCCTACATACCAAGTGAAGTGACAAACAAATGATGAGCGAATGAATCACAATAAATTGAACAGGTGAACATAAACTGACCGTTGGAGGCACGGCAACTGCATGAGATAAAATGACCGTGGGATTGTGCTGTATGGACGCAGAAATTGGCAATTTGAACATGCAACAAAGCAATTGAAAACTTACCGCTACGATGGCGCAAACCAAGTAAAGAAGGTTCATCCAGGAGATCTGAGACATCAGGAAGGCGTTAAGGTAGATACCAATTCCGGGTAGAAGAGGCACAAGGGGCGATCGGAACACACGTCCCTTCTCAGCCTTGGACTCATCTGTTTCCTTGAACATGAAGCTCATTATGATTAAGATACCAACAACAGAGGCAGCCAGTGCAACAGCAATCCACAGAATAACATCGTTCAAGTCTTTCTCGTCATCGGGGATATCGATGTTGAAGTACTCCTCGAGGTAACCCTTCCAGAGCATGTAAGCGGAGATGAAGCCAGCGACCCAGACATATAACAGACATCCAGTAACCTTGGTGTTTCCGTTGCTACCGGAGAGACGAACCGCGATAAGAGATGTGTTTGTGATACAGAACGATAGCAGTACACCCAGAGAGATCATATCCCAGAGAATATCGAAAGGTACCAACATGGCAATGAGAGTCATGGCAATACCGGAGATGATTGTTCCCATAGTCAAGTTACCCTCCTTGTTCTCCTTGGCAAAGATGATAGGAAGCATACCATCAATGGCCATAGCAGCCATAAGCTCGGGCTGCGCAATGAAGGAAAGCAGAACTACAATGGGTAGCAGAATAGCTTCTCCCCAGGCGACAATATAGGATGCCCATGTCCAACCGACCAATAGGAAGGCCTCCGAGAAAGAAGGAATCTCAGAACATGGCGCGGCGTCAGGGTTCTCTGCATCCCAGGTCGGGTGAGTTTCGCAGGGAATGACTGCACCACCCAAGGCAAACTGGGCGAGAGTAGAGATAACGGTAGCGGCAAGAAGAGTACCGCCAATAGCCAAAGGCATGGTCTTACGAGGGTTGTTGGAACGTCCAGCTAGACAGGCAACCTCATCGAAGCCGATGAAGCCAAAGAACAATTTGGATGCACCCAAAAGCATACCACCAATTCCGAAGGGCAGGAACTCATCGGTGGAACTGTAGGCGTCGAAGCCGTAGCCCGACTGGGTCCACGACGCCAATCCACAAATGATCATAAAGGTCACCAGGCACACCTTGGCAATAGTGAAGGCGTTGATAACAACCTTACCCATCTTCAGACCCACAGCGAGAATAATTACAGACAGTGCCATGACGATACCCGCGAGAAGATCAACGTAGGCATCAATGTCGCCGTCATTTCCGGGATAGTCAATATGGAAGTATGACATAGAGTATCCAGTGAAGTTCTCTACCGTGTAGATAATCTTAGCAGACCATGAACGGGCTACACCGGCACCAGAGATACCGTATTCGAGAGTAAGGCAGATGCCTCCCAGAAAACCCATCGCTTCTCCAAGCCCGAAGTAGGCGTAGGAATAACAAGACCCAGATGTGGGCACACGCGACGACAGCTCCATGTAACTAAATCCCGAGAGCAGACAGATAAACCCAGCAATCAGCCATGACACTACAGCAGAAGGTCCGGAGACTGTGAGCACATCACCAGTCAACACAAACACACCACTTCCGATTGTGCATCCAATTCCGATGCACAATAGATCGAACAGAGATAACTTAACAATGCCGGATTCCTCGTGGACGGCTTCCTGGGCCAAGATGATATGTGCCTGTGGTGCGTGGAACAGATATAGGTCGAAAGGCTTTAGTAAATGAATTATGCTTCCTAGAAAGCAACTTGGTTGGAATTGACTTGTAAAAAAAGAAAAACTGTGGGAACATCGGTTTAACCATGGCGACAAAGTCTAAAAAAGTCCAGCACTGCATTCACAGCTGTAACCGCACGTTCTATAACTAAAAAAAAATGGCACAAATACGACGGAAATCCGTGGAAGAGGGAGTTGTTAGATAATTTCCAGCACTCGCTGATAGCACAATCAGAAAATCAAAATCCTTGGAAACGGTAGTAAGCAATTCAACAGGATTTACATAAAGATGTATCGACAGACACTTACCGGCTTTTTACGGGACATCTTCCCCATTATTTCTTCGAACCCCATTGTAATAAATGAACTATATGAACAGAAGCCAGCTAAAAGTGAGATCGTGTGTTGCGTTTTGGCAACACTACAAGTATGATGGGTGTAAATAAGCAAGCTTCAGCATTCTTATATATAATTTAATGTGTATCTACATTTATTACAATTTGCATATCTACATTTATTACTATTTGCATATGGCATTGTTATTTTGCTTATTATAAAATCCGAATCCACAATTTTTGTCTTTTTTTAAAAGATGTGCTTGTTTTGGAAGAAAAACATAAAAAAAACAGTTTTCAGTCAACAGGGCTTTTTTTGCGTCGCATATCCAAATATGGCAACAAAGTTGCTCCCAAAACCTACACGCGACCCCGGATGAGAAACAAAGACTATTGATGGTCCCAGAGTTTTTGTTCGCATGTCCAGAAACTTTCCATTGGGCTATTATGCCCTAATGTCGTACAGAGGACCTGTCACTATCCTCGGAGAACGTAGGCTCGGTGGACGGTGAGTCGCTGACTGTAACAGTCGAGTTTACGTCTTACGACAGGGTTCAGGGATTCGATTTCTATTCGGTACATTTAATGTGAACATTGTAAAAATTAAAAATTAAATACCTCATTTTTTATTACAGTTTGTTTGCTTTGTTTTTTTGGGTGTTTATGAGCTCCTATTTTTAGTAAAAGCCATTTTAAAACGTTAAAAAGAATAATATTAAGTTAAAAAAGGGCCGACGTGCCTTGAAAGTTGCACTTTCGTTTCCATAGGTGGGCCTTAGGTGCATCTTTTTACGTACCGTTTTTTTTTTAAATTTACTTGAGACTATAAGTACGTAAATGACGTGACACCCCATTATTAAAAACGGAAAAATAAAGTGACCCTTTACGTAAATACTTTTTAATCAGCGAGCGACGAATATCCCCTAAATACCAATTAAAAAAAAATACAACCAAAAAACACAAAAATTGGATTTGTAAATCAATTCGGCCATCCCATTAGCTCATGACCTTTTTAAAAACAACATAGCCTGCTAAATTAGACATAAAAAATGCCTTTAATTTATATATAAAACGAAAAATCTTTAATCGTTCACTCGCCCTTATTTAGAAGGCAAGGGGGGATTGGGTCCCTGGCCTAACCTCAACCCGGTTTCCGTTAAAACTTTATATATCGAATAAATATACGTTTACGTTCAACTTTTATTTCATATGTTGTCCTTTGTATTCTCGTAGGTGCAGCTTTCGGGTCTAAACATTTAAAAGTGTATCAAGTTTACGATTCAAACCAGTCCTATGAATGAATTCAGGTAGGCTCTTCTTATCACCATAACGTTTTAAATTTGAAACGAGTATGCGTTTACGTTCAACTTTTATCCCCTACCCCCATAACGTTATGAGCTTAGGCCCTGGCCCCTGAGGGTTTTTATTTTTTTATTTTTTTTACAAAGACAAAAATAAGTATTTTTCGTTTGTGCCGCACAACTCAAATTCACATATTTTTTAAATATATCTTTGCCCGAAACCAAGAGCTCTGAAGTAAATATTTATTTTTTATATTTAGTGTATTTACTCGGTATTTATGTAGTCATAAACTAAATAATCTCATCTTTCACATGTCATCTGTTCACGACTTCACAAGTTCACAGTTCACAAGTCTTCAGTTCACACTTCACACACAAGAAGTTCACGACGAAGTAAACTTTGCCATAGTGTTCTATTTTCAGAAGACTGTCTTTACCTTCTGCGTTTTGTAAATAAATAAAAAATTTGAACCCCCCCCACTTGGATGTTTTGGCGCGCCACCATTGAGTCGACCAACGGAAACAGCGTTCGTCGCGTCGTCTCATATAAATATACCATGGGGAATGAGACGGGCGTGCGTCCGTTGGAGAGATCACAGTTTCACAGTGATCGTCTACGACCGTCGACCGAATTTAGGTCAATACACCCAAGTGGGGTTTTCCAACGATCAAGGAGTTTGAGTAGGTTTTTTAGTTGAGTGCTACAGGGTTTCACAAAACACAACAAAACCATAGCCTTCTAGATATATGACAAAACCCCCCCAAAAAATATCATTGTATATTTTTTGTAAAAACAAAAAGAAAATTTTTCATTTTGCAATTTGCACAATCAATATTCTCCAATAAATTTTATATATATACTATATTTGTTTTTTAAAATATAAAATCAGAAAGCAAATCAAACAGCTATGCAATATTGCTAAATACAGAGCGAGAGGGAGTAGAATGTGGAGACAGAGAGTGGGTGACAGTGTGTGACTGTGTGTGTGTGACAGACCGTGAGACTCGTGAGTCCCTTACAGTGTGTGTGAGACTGAGAGTTGAGACTGACCTGCTGTGTGTGCAACACTGCAACTGTGCAGAGTGCAGTCACTGCAGTGTGCAGCTGTGTATAGCTGCAGTTCTGTACAGACGCACAGTGCACACTGCAGTTACAGTCTACTCATCTACTCTCTCTACTCTCTAGAGAGAGAGGGAACAATTATTTTATAGGTAGTGATACTCTCTAGAGTAGTAGAGTGAGTAGTGAGTAGTGACTCTCACTGGAGCATGTTACTGATGTTACTATTATGTGTTACTATGTAGTATGTATATATAATTAGATAGAGGGTAGACCGTATACTAGCATACAATCTACATATTAGGCCATAAAAACACAAAGGGCCCAATGACAAATGTGGTATGTATCTCAATTCTTCAATTATCCACCAATCAGGTCTTATAAGCCCTTGAAACCTAAGGGTGTGCCCTCCGTAAGCCTCAACTCCCTGGAGCCTTGGAGACCTCTCTACTAGAGAGTAGAGTCTAGACTCCTGATCCCGGAGTCTTGGACTCTCGTAGCAAAGAAAGTTATATGGTGGGTACTATCAGCCTTTGAAAAACAGTCCCGTCGTCTGATAAAGCTCATTACGTTATAGGGGTGCAGACTACAGATTAGAAGTAGAACGTTAACGCATCTTTATTCAGTTAAAATTTTATCATGGTTATAATGTGATCAGAAAGGCCTACCTAGGTTCCTTTTATAAGACTAATTTGTACGGTGAGAACTGTACACACATCGATGTCTAAACCCACAAGGTACACCTGTTTGTATAAAAAGGGCTGCATATGGAATTAAAGTTGAACGTAAACATATATTTATTCGATTTATAAAAGTTTTAACGGAAACCGGTCTGAGGCTAGAAGTCTGTCGTCTGTATTCTCTATGTAATTATTATAATATTATATATCATCCATTCATCCTCCATCAAACACAAGAGTGAAGAGTAGAAGAGAAGGAGCCTCAACATAAGAGAGAGAGGGCAGTGGAGCCAACCTCATTAGTGATTAGTCATTACGATTCGGTATTTACTATTTAGTTCAGACTTCAGAAGTTCAGAGTATATTGAGAATATTTACAACAACTATTAGCTTTTTTTTCGAAACAAAACAATATATAAAAGGTTTGCACATGATGTCAGAGTCGGTCAGAGTCAGACAGGCTACGCATAAAAGTGTATTTAGTATTGGTTAGCTTTATTACTCGGTACAGTGGGACTGTACATAATTTAAAAAGCGACTGTCTCGAGACTCGAGAGTCGAGACACGTAGTTTCCCAGAGACCTAGTTCCAAAGACAGTCGCGCTTCGGTGTCTATATCTAATATATCTATCCGGAAGTCCTGATCCACGATGTATTCCATTATAAGTATCCAACCCCATCCCATGGCCCTGAGTCCCTGACCCATGTAGTGGTTGGGTCCAACCTAAAGTTCACAGTCCGGATGGACATCCAACTAAGGTCCGTCCTACAACAAAAGTTCAAAAACACAGAACCAAATCAAAAGTATTTATTTTAAAAAAAGGTGCATATTTAGAAGAAGGATATGATTTAGGTAACCGTTTTACTGTTTTAGGCTTTTTTTTTTTAAATATATCTATATTATTAGTTTTGATATTTGTTTTTTATGTCTAATTTAGAAGGCTATGTTTTCTTCTTTTTTTTTTAACAAAAACAAAAAGCTGGTCTCTGCAGGGAATCAAAAATGCAAAAAAAAAATTATCTCTCTTCACTCCAGTGACACAGTCAGTCCGCCATAGCCTTCTAAATACAATTTCATATCTGGGTCCACCCAATATAAAACTGGGTACAAAAAAAAGAGGTACATACTGTAGACTCCAGTAGAGTGTACTGTAGAGTTGTACACTACTATAGCGTGTAGACTGTAGAGTGTAGAGTGTAGCTGTAGAGTCTGTACTCTGTACTCGTCTCTGAAGACTGTAGAGTACAGAGTACAGACTGTAGACTGTAGACTGTAGACTGTAGACTGTAGAACTGTAGACACTTGTTTTTTTTCTGTTGGGATCATCAACACTCAACAGTCAACGCTCTATACTCAACTTTGTGATGAGTGGAAGTGTCCACAAATAGACTTCCTCCAATCCCCCATCGTGTGGCGAATCATTACTCTTACACTATACAGAGTATGTAAAATTGTAAATACAGGGACACCCTCGTACTGTCCCCTTCGGGGATATACCTAGTTGTGAAGAATAAAATAGAGATTCAGTAGCCTCTCACTAAACTAGTCAATAGAGGGGGGAGATAGAATTTAGTTAACCGATGGAGAGATAGGCTCTCTCTTTTACCCTCTGTAAGGGACTCTTTTTAGTATACAATCTCATATAACAAAGAGATTATATATCTACATCTCTTAAGACTACAAATTGTTAGAGTTCATGTCGGACAATCATTTTATTTATTTATTGTATTTTGTTCAAAGTAAAATTGCTTTTTGTTTTGTTATTGTTTTTTACAAAAACAAACAAACAATAGAAAGCCTGAAACTTGAAACTGAAAGCCTCAATCTAACCTACAACAGTTTTCCGTTAAAACTTTTATAAATCGAATAAATATACGTTTATGACAAACTTTTATTTCATATACGGTCCTATAGGTAAGGCCTGTCTTACTTACAACGTCAATGAGTCATACTTACAATGTCAATGAGTCATACTTACAATGTCAATGGGTCATACTTACAATGTCAATGAGTCATACTTACAATGTCAATGAGTCATACTTACAATGTCAATGGGTCATACTTACAATGTCAATGAGTCATACTTACAATGTCAATGGGTGTCAATGGGTCATACTTACCATGTC